AGCTCTGAGGCCTGGGGAGCGTGGCTGGGTGCTTGCTGCCCCTGGGAGCTCCTCTGGAAGCCACTGTGATGGGGCCAGTGTCGGTTGGAGGTGACATCACCACCCACGGGGCAGTTGCGGGGTGTCAAGGGCCTTGTGGGTCCACACATCCTGGCCATGTCCACACTGCTCGGGGGAGAACTGTGGGCCCCCGTGTGCCGTCTCCCTGAGGAAGGGGCTTCTGGCTGGGGAAGACCTCACTGCTGACCCGGCGGTAGCAGGGGTGTCTCCTGCTTTTCTCGGGTAGGGGGGCGGGGGGCGCTCTTGCCCTGGCTGGACTGTGTGAGCTTGGATGATGGAACCCAGGGCAGCCGCTGGATCGATGGACCTCCACAGGCCAGGGCCCCTGGGAGGCTGCTGAGAAGCTGGCCAAGCAGCCCCTCCACGCACCCCCTCTCTGGGTGCTCTGCTCCCAGGCACCCTTCCTCAGCCTGCTGCCTACCCACTCCCCTGCGGCTGCTTCCTGTGGCCACTGTGACCAGTTACCACGGATGTGGTGGCTTAAAACCGAAGACGTCAAGTTCTCTCAACAGGATCTCCTATCTCTGGGGCCATCACTCAGCCCTTCCAAACTGATGCTCAAGGGTTTCCCCAAGATGCCACCACATGGGTGACTCGGGCACATCTCTGCCCCGAGGAGCCGGTGGTGTTCCTGCAGCAGCGTCTATGCTTGGCACGTGCTGGCCCGCAGGGCTGCTTCCCCAGCTTGGCACTTAGCGCAGCCTGAGAGGCAGGTACAGGTGGGGCCCTGCTCCTCCGACGGGGAAACTGAGGCGCAGTCAGTCAGTGATGCTCCTCCCTACCCGCCGTGGCCCACATCCCTCAGTGCCTGTGTGGGTGCAGAGGAGCCAGGCCAGTGCCACCTCCCTGCCGTTGGGAGCGAGGTGGGAGGACACTCTGCTCAGGCGGGAGGCACAGACCTCTTTTGCCAGAGCCCCGTCAGGTAGGGCCTGTGATCACGTCCCCGGGACACTTGAGAACACTAGGGCCTGGAGTCAGGAAGTGACTTGTCTCGGGTCCCGCTCTACTAGGACGACAGCAGAGAGCCCAGATCTTGTTCCCCTGCCCACCCCCAAGGATGGCTGCAGGACTCTGGGGTGGGGCCCCCTGGGTTCAGGCCACGCACCCTCCCAGCCCTAGCCCTCCCTCTGCTTTTGCCCACAGTGACTATACCTGTGGACGGCGTCCAGCTGAGGAGGAGGGTGGCATGGGGAGGCTCCACCCCCAGGAGAGGGCTGGAGGGAGAACCCAGGCCATGTCTGCAGGACCCCAAGCTCCCTTGCTCATTTGCTCCCCTGTCTTCCCAGCTGGTTCATGGGACGGCGGCCCGAGTACACAGACCCCAAAGTGGTGGCTCAGGGGGAAGGCCGGGAAGGTAAAGGTTCACCCCTCCCCCTGGGCAGGGTGGGCCTGGAAGGGACCAGGTGGGCCCCGAGGAGTCAGATGGGTGGAGCAGGGCCCAGCTCAGAGGGCTTGCCACTTCCATCGGCCCATCCCCAGGGCAGCCCCTTCGCCCAGGGAGGAATGCGGGCTGGGCGGTGTTGCCCCCACTTTCCAGGAGGGAACACTGAGGCTGCAGATTCCGAAAGCAGCCTGGTTGTCTCTGATCCAGCTCTGCTGACTCTCTTCTTCTGTCCCCAGTGACCCGTGTCCGTTCCCAGGGCTTCGTCACTCTCCTCTTCAACGTAGTGACCAAAGACATGAGGAAGCTGGGCTATGACACCGGGCCTCCGGACACGCAGGGTGTCTCAGGGCCCAGCCCGCCCCAGGGCCTCCCCCGGTGAAGGCAACAGCCCTCTGCCCAGCGATCGTATAATAAAGTGTAACCGTTTCATAGAGCCCAGGCTGGGCTGCGCCGACCTTTGCAGCACATCCCCTGGGAACAGGGCCCAGGCCTCACCTCAGAGCAGCAGCCTATGGACGCTGCACAGGACGGCCACCAGCACACGAGCTTGGACTCAACAGTGATCCCGCGGCTCAAGGCTGTGTGCCCCTCACACCTCGACGTGCTCGGCCCTAAAACCTGCCTGCTCAGTGCCTGGCACGTGTCACACTGACTATGCTCCATGGCTCCAGTTCCATGGATGCCCGCCACCCTTGGATGGGACAGGCTGAGAGCCTCCCCAGGTGGGTGGTGTTGCAGGGGGAGAGCCCACTTGCCCTCGGCCAATGCCGGGCCACCTGACTGCCCGCCGACAGCTTCAGGGGAGCCCTCTGGGCAGGTCACAGGGCTCGCCCAGTGTTCTCTCCTTGGCAGGATTTGAGGGGAGCCCCCGGCCTGACATTCTCCCAGTTCCTCCGTAAACCAGAAGTTTATGCTGCTTGGGGCCACTCCCCCTGTCCCAACTCATTGTGCACCCTGGAACAGGCAGGACGCTGGCCTTCTCTGCATGAGTCCTCTCCTGCTCTGACCTCTGCTCCACAGGCGCATCCCCCGTGGCCCCATCCCAGCTCCCACACACCCCTGGCCCTCAGACCAGCCCACAGCCACCAGACTCCAGCCGCCCTTGACGCATCCCCATCCACCTGGACGGTCCCTCCCTGACATGGCCTGTCTTGCAGCCCCTCCCTTGTAATGACCTTGACCTGTACCCCCAGGAGCTCCCCAGTCCACTCCTTCCCCAGTGGTCAAGCTCACGCAGGCACTGGGACCAGCTCAGTGGCCAAGCTGGGTCCAGGTGGGAACTGGCTCCTGAGCCGGCCCCTCGTGGTGTTTTGGGATTGATGAGGGTGGAGGCAGGGGAAGGACACCAGAAACCGCATCATGATACAAATGATAAATTATATTTATACAGTAAATAAGTATCAACAGTCAATACAAGTTCGACACTAGCCACCTGCCCCTGGACTGAGAAGGGCTGGGCGACGCCCCCACCATGGCACCTGGCAGGGGGCACTTGATAGCACACGTGCCACACTCGGCAGTGCCAGTGGCTTCATGATCAGTGCAGCAGGCAGCGGAAGAGCCCGGGGACGGGTCTGAGCGGGGGCGGGAGTTGAGGCTGCCTGGGCCTCGGAGGCCCGCTTCACATCAGGATGGGCTCTTACTGATGAGGGATTGCTGGCCCCATCACCCAGTAGTGTGGTCCTGCCGCCTGTGCAGGCGTCAGCCCATCCCTCCCTGGAGAAGCATCTTGCCCCGAGCCCACCCTCCCCTGGGACACTGGGAGAGGAGAGCCAGACTGGCCTTCCTGATAACTGGAGCCTACAGTCCAGCTCAAGTCTGTGGGCTGGAGGTGGCCCCTGAGAGGAGCAGCAGGGTGAGCCCTCCAGGCTGCGCTGTCAGCCTCCATTGCCCAGCACTGCAAGCAGAGGGACTTGGTGTTAACTGCCCCTGGTGCCGGAGGCGAGACGTCCGCTGTGGAGATGGAGACTGACGTGCCCACCAGGCCAGCTGACCAGACATGGGACTCGGGGCCAATGTCCCTGCTCTGGGGAGTAGTGAGTCTCTTCTGATCTTTGTGACTTAATACTTTTTTTAATTGTGGTGGGTGGGACAAAGGAAGCTGGGGAGAGGGAGGTAAGATTAGTGCATGTTTGTTAATATCTTTTCTGTATAAGAGTGATTTTTGTTCCCTCTCCAAAGAAAGAGATGGTTATTTCTACATTGCAACATGTGTCTGGAGGGCAGGTGAGTGTGTGGGAGCCAGGCCTGGGCCGCAGCCCGTCAGCCTAGGGCTGCCCCAGGAGCCACAGCAGAGCCCCACTGCCCCTCGACAAGCCGCCAGCACTGTCCCCACCTCTGCCCTGAGGGTGGAGTTAAGGGGGAGGTCACAGAGACAGGGTTCCATCCCATGTTTCTACTGTAAATGCAAGTCCTGTTAACTGCATGCCTTCAGTCACAGAAGTCAGCTGATAAAACCTGGTGAGTCACATTCATATGTTAGATTTTGTTTTTAACTTTTTTCATGTTGGTACATCAGTAAGAAAAATAGCCTCTCTCTTAGGATCTAGCCAAAAAGGCTGAAAGTCAGTTTGGTAATTTACCAAAAAAGGGAGTTAAAGGAAAAGGCAACTGGAGGCTACAATTTTTTGTTACTATTGTAGGTTTTTCTTTTTTTTTTTAAATATCATCTTTTATGTGTAATCAAATTCCCATATTTTTCCTATAAAGAATTTGCTTTAGTTTTCCCATAAGGCATTTTTTTGTCTCTTCGTATTTAAATTTTTTTACAGTTAAAACCATAAATAAGAGAATTTAAACCACTAACATGACACTGCCAATATCTTAATTCAGCCAGACCTGGTAAATTCTATCAAAACTAGACAGTTAAATAAGAACCACGTTATAAAAATATTAGCCAAAAAAAGACTATTCGATAATTCTGCAAACTCAAATATGAAACTGTACTAAACAAAATCTGTGCAAACGCATACAAGCATGGAGCACGTGGCAGGGCTACGCTCAAGTTAGTTTAAAGCTTCTCTAGTGGATTTAATTCAAGAGTTGTTCCACGGTGGTGGCGTTCACTTTGAACTCATGCATGAGTCAAAGAAAAGTAAAACACGCACAACCGCATCCCCCAAAGGTCAGTGTCTGAGGGCACCGGTACTCCATCCGGTCCATGCCTGGGGTTGCCTGGGGTGTCCCCGGGGCTGGGTCCCGGGAGAGGCTGTCCCAGAGACCCTGGGCTGAGGCTGGACTGGCACTGCACATGGCCGCCGCCTTGGCCAAGCCCCCAAGAGCTGGCAGATCCCCACGGAGGCAGCACGGTGGCCAGGCTGGGTCAGGGGACCCCCACACGACACAGGCCCGGGGACCCGCATGCTGTGTGATGCCTCTGTCTGCCGCCACCACTCACCCCTCAGACTGAGGCCTGGGACCAGAGAGACACCCTCTGCTCAGGAAGCCAGACGGGACGCCATGACACCCATCCCCCTGCTGCCCGACCCCTTCCACAAGCAACAGTCCCAGCTCGGCGTCCTTGGCATGGATGCTCTGCACGGGTCCCAGCCTGGCACTAGAGGAGGAACGGGTTGGTTGTGCCGGTGGCCTGAGTTGCTGACGGGGGTACGCCCAGGCTACCCACCATGTTCATCGCAGCAGGGCCCAGCGGCGGCAGGGAGGAGCTGCTGGCCCCCAGGGGTGGGTGGGAGGCTGCGGAGGTCATGGAGGCCACAGGCTCCGCACCTGGGCTGGGCCCAAAGGACACGCTGCCCCCTAGCACTGGGCTCCCCCGCAGCTGGTTCAGCGTCAGGGGCTGCGGCTGGTTCACCTGGAAGGGGTTGACGGGGGCCGAGGCCGTGGCGGCACCTGGGGAGAAAGTGGGAGGGGCAGTGGCTGTGGTCAGAGCAGCAGTGTCCCTGGGCCCCAGGGCAGGAGTGCAACACCAGAGAGGCCACCCAGGCAGCCCCACCTCCGGGCATGATGTCCAGAGGAGGAAACTCAGGCTGTGAGGAGCCAAGTGATGGGCCAGGCTCACAGGGCCCAGTGCCTATTCCAGGCTGGCACCCTGGGCACCATCAGCAACAACCACAGGTGCGGGGAGAGAGGGGAGCCACGGGGGAGACAGGACAAGCAGTGCAGCCTCAGAGCAGTCCCCATATGCTGCACCCGGGGACCCCGACCTCATGAAATCTCTGAGAAGTCCCACTGTCAAGGAGAGACACAGATCCCTATTCCCTCAGAAGCTCACGGCTGGGGGTTCTGCACTTTTGCTAGAGGGTCTCAGAACTCGGCCCTGCCAAGTCCTCAGGCCAAATGCCCTGAACATGACCCGTTTCTGTCCTTGGAGAGCCCAAGGAAAACTCAGGGAAGGGTGGGGGCGCCTCAAGGAAGAGGGTTGCCTGGACTGGGGCCGAAGGGTAAGTCTGACCCTCCCACCCAGGGAGAAGCAAAACAGCCTGGCCGGTGGGACAGAGCATGTTGGGGGGATGGTGAGTGGCTCACACAGCTGAGGGTGTGAGTATACAGGGGCTCGGGACTGGGGAGGGACACGCCGACTTGAGGGCTGGGGCCTGTCCTGCAGCCTTGTGGAGCCCCTGAGGGTGGAGGGCCCACCAGCAGGGAGGATGGGCTTGGGACGGAGGGCAGAGTTCTGGCCCCAGAAGAGGCAGAACCCAGAGCAGGGCCAAAGTGAGGGTGCCTGCTTGGCAGAGGGCCCAGGTATACTCACCCGGAACAGGGGCAGCCAACCCTGGCTCCCCTGGCCCCCAGCACTGGCCCAAACTGGTGCTCGCTAAAGGGTCTCCCTGGCTGGGGGCACCAAGCCAGGGGCAGCTTCTGCTCGGTGGTCTCAATTGAGAGGAGGGGCTGTATGCCAGCCCCTCACGAGGCCCCTGAAAGGCACCAGCACTGGCCCAGGATGCGGGCACTCCAGAGCATGCTCCCCACCTGCCTATGGCCTATGGGAAAAGTCCACCCAGGGTTGGAGGGGAGGTCAGCGCCCACAGGCCTGCCCCAGGGCCACTCTCAAGAAGGGTGGATGGCTAGGGGAACCCAGGAAGCCACATACCTGGTGCCAGGAAGGGGTTGAGGGCCTGTGCCGGCGGGGCTGGCCTGGTTACCAGTGAGTCCAGGTTGACCAGGGCCGCATTGGGGCCCAGGAAGGATTCTGGGGTTTTCCGGGCACCACTGGGCTTGCTCGAGGCGACGGTCAGGGGCTGAGACTCAAAGGGATCAGGGCTGGAGGTTCCATTGTTCTGGGCCGGTGGAGAGGCTGCCTTGGCTGCAAGACAAGGACACACACGGACCGATGAGCTTGGAGGCCAGGGACCCAGGACAGGCGCATCCCACCCTGCAGTGTCCAGAACCCAGATGTCCTCAGATGCTGCCTTGCTGGGGATGTGCACGGCTGCCCCAGAGGATAGGACATTCATGGCAGAGCTTTCCCAACAGCCCCAAACTGGAGCCGCCGGTAGGCACAAGGCAGAGCTCACACCACCAGACCCGAGTCCAGGGACAGAAGGCGCGATGACCAACCGAGAGGAGCAGGGACCAACAGCGGCACTGGCTCCACACACAGGACGACAGCACTGTGGGTTGGTGGCTATGTGTGAGTAAATTACATCTTTTGGATGTTTTCATTTTCTAAAGTTTCTACAACGAACATGAATCTCTCAACAGTAAGAAAGCAAATGGTTTTTAAAAATTCAGCCAATAGAGGGTGTGCTGAGACAGACCAGCAGGACACGGACGCTCTGCCAAGATGTGAGAAGGCAATGTGGATGCGGGTTCCTAGAAATGGTGGTGTCCTTGCTTGTTGTTCCTGCAGCCCCACGTCCAGGAGCCTAGTCTTGAGAAATACCACACAGAGACACACAACCTAAAGTCAACCTGAAACGTCCTCCCCTAAGCAAAAGATTCAGTAACATCGCTGGGATACTACAAAGCTGTTTCTAAAGGATTTTGTTATGCTGAGAGAAAATGTTTTCAATCTGTTTTTCCAAAAAGTCGTGAGGGCAGGATTGGACTCTCACGCCAGTGTGAGTTCAACGACAAAGGCCATACGTAAGAGCTCACGAAAGTACTGGAATGAAGCTCAGTGGCCACGAGCACATGGAAGAATTGGAAACGATTCTCATTTTCTTCCGTAAGCTTTTCCAAATTTTCTACTGATACAGTGGAACTCCTCTGGAGTTGGGGTAAACACTTCGCAGGCCCAGGGAAGCATGTTCAGACTTCTCACTAGGCGCGGGGAGCAGGTATGGACAGTTAGGTTGTGCTTTGGCTGTGGAGGACACACAAAAGCTTGCTGCTTTCTTTGTGTGGCAAAACAAAGAGCCCAGGAAGCAGCAGTTCTGAGGTGCTTCCGGCCCCTTAAGCCACGAGGCCTGGGGGTGGCTTGGGGTGCCAGGCTGCCCCTACCTTAGACCAGCCCAGCCCGGCTGCTGGGGGAGGCACAGGAGGCAGTGGGAAATGGGGAGGAGAAGCCGAGAGGAGAGAGAAAGGAGAAAAGTTACTCTGGCAGGAGGGGTGGCCCTGAGAATGCTCTGTCCCCAGCCCTGCGGGGTGTGTAAAGAGGGCATCCAGCCCCTCCCTCTGCCCTCTACCCCGACCCCTCCCAGCCTAGGGGCACACAGGGAGGAGTCAGGTCTCCTGCACAGGGAGCTGCTTGTGTGTGTGTGTGTGCGCATATATCTCTGTGTGTGTGCACGCGCACACGTGTATATGTGTGTCTACGTGTGTGCATGTTTGTACGTGGATATATGTATATATGTGCATATATCTGTGTGTGCATGCGCACACACACTTGTATATGTGAGCGTGTCTATGTACATGTCTTTGTGCGCGCACATGTACGCATGTGTATATGTGTGTCTGTGTGAGCATGTGTCTCTGTATGTGTGTGCATATATCTGTGTATGCGTGCCTCTGTGTGTATATCTGTGTCAAAGATGCCTGCCCATACAGGGACCTGAGTGGTCTAGAAAAGGGCGCCTCTAGGGAGCTGGGAGGAAGGCAGATGGAGGTGGGGCAGGGGCCATGCGGGGCTGGAAGCCAGGGCAGTAGCCTCTGCAGACAGCCCCAGGGCAGGAGGCCAAGGCAGCCCAGCAAGAGGACAGAAAGCTCAAGGGCATCCACTGCTGCCCCGAGTCACCCCAGCTCTGAGTCAGATAAGAGGAAAGTGCATGGAGTTGCTGGGCTCACGACTGTCATCCCTGCAGAGAGGGGGTGGGTCAAGGGCACAGGACCGCGCGGAAACCACCACCACCTCATGTACCTGCTTTTTTTGAAGTTCGGAGGTTGTCAAATTCAGAGAAGTCATCTTTAATTGTGCCATTCAAATTGCTGAAGAGATCAAAGGACCCTGTGGGAGAGAGTGGTGGTGACTGCAGGGGGCCTCCACTTTTCTGTCTTCCACTGCCCACCTGGGCTGGGGTGGGCCGGCATCTCTGCCCCTTGTGGGGAGAACCGGAGAGCCAATTGGAGGTGGGGGTGGTGAAGCACAGGCTTGGGTTACCAGGTGGGCAGGGTGGGGACCAGGAGAGGGACTCCCCATGCAGAGTGGGGTGCTCAGACCAAAGTAGAGGAGCCAGGAAGGGGGTCTCACCAGAGGAAGACACAGGCTTGGCAGCCGAGGCTGCAGCCCAGGGGTCAGCGGCTTTCCCAGCGCTGGGGGCTGGCTGCTGCGGGGCGGCCCAGGGGTCCGAGCCCTTGGGAGCAGAGTGTGTGCCGGCTCCAGTGGGTGCCCCCCAGGGGTCGACAGAGGCGGCTGGCTTGGCACCTGTGGAGAGGTAGGGCTGGCTCGAAGATGCCCGCTGAAAGGGCTGGGCAGCCCAAGTGAGAGGGGGAGGGCCAGCCCTGGGTGGTAGGAGCACCCGGGGGGAAGAGGGCCACAGAGCCTGCTAATAGACCCGTGTAGCTCGGAGAGCACAGGGTACACACCTGGGTGCCACCACAGCAACTCAGCGGGTCTGGATAGGCTCTTCCCTGAAGGACAGACAGACTTCTACGCTCGGAGACTGTCCCTAGGGAGGGGGCTGACTCCAAGAGGACCCACGCGCCAGCTCTCCCCACTCAGAGCATTGCAGGTGCCTGCACCCTGCCCCTGCGCCCCGTCCCAGCAGTGCGGGGCCCCTGAATCAGGTGCCCAGCAGACAACCACAAGGCTGTGTTCACGTGTTTTATTTGGGAGGCTCAGCTGTGCTGCTTTCCTGCTGTGTGACATCCTGCGCTGAGACAGAGAAGGCGAGGTGGGTGAGATTGTGTGGCCACCGCTCCCCAGGAGCCCCTCACAACTCCCCCTGCCCCCCACGAGGTGCCGACTCCATTCGCCTCCCGAGGGGCTGCTTTGCTCCATCATGCTCATCGGTGGGGTTCTTTCCACATCTGGCTGCTTATTTTCTTCCATGAGTTACAAACACATTCTCCTCACTTGCGGCCTTTCCCTTCACCCTCCTTAAGGAGTCACTTGAAGAATGGAGAAGTTCTCAACTGGGATGGGGCAGGACCCTTGGGATTTTCGTCTGATTTGTGCTTTTCGGGACATGCAGGAGCTCCATCCCCACATGGGGCCTCAGTAATACTTTTTACTTTAGTTTTTATTTCCATAAGGGATTTATAAAACTTTTGTAAAAGTTAGTCCTAGGGACTGGTATATTTTTAAAACTTCATTTTCTAATTACCTTTTTGTTATGCAGAGAAACAACTGAAGTTCACATAGTAATTTTTGTATCCAGCAATCTTACTAAACTCAAATCTAATCACTGAAATTCATACTATTTATTCTCACAGTAATTCTAATAATAATTCTCAATTCCAATAAACCCCTCCCTGGAAGCTATGCACACTCTCCCATCTCTCATAAAAAGGATGGCGGCAGAGCTCTTCGAGTTCCTCCTCTTCCTGTCTTGCTGCACCGGCCAGGACCACCCGTCCCAACACATGGCAGAGGTGCAGGCTGTGTCCAGGTCTTGCTCTTAAACATCTACCATTAAATGGCACCATTTACCATGACGGGCTTTCTCCTTTCAGAAGCTGATGATCGGGTTACAGAAGCTCTGCATTTCAAGTTTGCTAAGACCTTTGTAATGAACAGCTGGTGAATTTTGTCAACCTGTTTCTGCCTTTACAAACATGACTGCATGATTTTTCTCTTTGGGTTTACTAATATGGTACATTAATACATTTCCTGGGGATTCCCTGGTGGCTCAGTAGTAAGGAATCTCCCTGCCACTGCAGGAGATGCAAGCTCAATCCCTGGGTTGGGAAGATCCCCTGGAGAAGGAAATGGCAACCCACTCCAGTATTCTTGCCTGGAAAATTCCATAAACAGAGGAGCCTGGAGGGCTACAGTCCATGGGGGTTGCAAAGAATTGGACACAACTTAGCAACTGAACAACAACAGTACATTTCCTGACTTGGTCCTTGCAAACAAAGTTTTTCATAATGAACTATATCATTTTTATGTTGTTCTCATTTTGATTTTGTAATTGCTTCTCTGCTGAGGGTTTCTGCATCTATATTCCTAGGTGAGCCTGGCCTGACATGTCTGTTCTCACACTGGGCATCTTCTTTCTGGTTCTGGTATTAAGGTTGTGCTAGCCCACAGGAGTCTGTGTGAAGGGGAAGTGTTTCCTGTGGGGTGTCAAACCTCGCAGCAAAGCTTGTGGGGTGACCTGGTGGTGAGGGGGAGGGGCATAGCTGACTCGGGTCCTTTAGTGACTCTAGGACTATCCTGTTCACAGGTGTCCTTCCACCAGTGTGGCTGAGGGTGACTTTACCCACTTTGTCTAAGTCTTCAGGTTTCACAGCACAGAGTTGGTAAACTCTTCTTACTCTCTGCTGAGTCTCGGCAGGATCTCTCTTGAGGACGCTGGCTCCACTGCTGGATGAAGCTGGCCCAAATGTAGAGCCACCTGTCTGTACTGGGGCCGTGTATAACTGGTGTCCTGCCCATTAGGCTGCCTCCTTGATGTACTCGGGGTGCAGTCACGCCCTGCAGCCCCCATGCCACCCCTGCACACAGCCCAGAGTAAAGTGCATGAGAACCAAGGAGCTGGCCCTGGGTCGGGCAAGGAGCAGCAGACAACGAAGCGGCAGTCCACAAACCACATGAGGCCTCAAACCACAAACGGCCACCCCAGCTGTATTCTGACGAGCTCTAAACATGCTCTTAATTTTTTAAATTCACTGTCAACATTTACAAGTTTGATTTGAAAATATAAGGTTATGGACTTTCCTGGTGGTCCAGTGATTAAGAATCTGCCTACGAATGCAAGGTACTAGGTTTGATCCCTGCTCTGGGAAGATCCTGTATGCCATGGAGCAGCGAAGCCCGGAGCGCCACAACTACTGAGCCTGCGCTCCAGAGCCCACGAGCTCCAACTAGAGAGAGCCTGTGCACAGCAATGAAGAGCCAGCACAGCAAAAAATAACCATTCTTTGTTTAAAAAAAATGTCAAGGTTTCAATCTTCTCTTACTGCTCAATGGTTATATAAAATATGATTTAATCTATAAAATGGAATATTATTCAGCCATAAAAAGGGGTGAGGTAGGAATGTGTGCTACCATGTGGATGAACTCTGAAAACATGCCAAGTGGAAATCACCACGGCCACGTGCTGTGTGATCCCAAGGCAGGGCCATTACCTTCACCTGTCCCGGTCCCTGCATGGGAGAAAGGAACCTGGCATTTGGTACACTTCAGCAAACTGCTAGGGAACTGAGCTGAATACAAAAGATGGGGTTCTGGTTTGCAGAGACAAAGGCCCCAAGAGACATGGGCACAAAAGACACATCCAAAGTTGCGAGACAGGATGTCCACAGATCAGCCATGGCAGCAGGGTTGAGTGTACCTGGGGGGCTCCCAGAGCGGCAGGCTGGCTGGGAAACTGTCACAGAGCCTGTAGCCAAGCCCTGCCCAGCGATCAGGAAGCCCATGTGCCCAAGGTCTCCACCCAGATGAAACAGATGGGGTCACGCTCATGTCTGAATCACCTGTCACAAGTTTACTTTACGCTGGCATTAAACAGAACTCTAAAATGTTCATTTAGCCTATTAAACAGATTTGCTACTGCTTTAAATAGCAAGTTAAGAAGGATTACTTTAATTTGGTCATTTAAGCATGTCATAATTTCTAGCTAATCACAGCAACTCAACTCAGACATTTCACGCTATATAATACAGTTTCTTAACCCAGGTGCAATCCTGAGGCTGAGGGTTAACGTGTGTTCCAGAGGAGGGACAAGCCATTTCCAGTGCATGTGGGAAGCAGAGAAGAAATGTGCCCAAGCAAAGCTCCTCACAACAGGATGAAACGGAGCTCTGAACCACTGCCCTCAGGAGGGCATTACAGGGGGTGTAGAGGGCATTACAGGGGGTGTGGAGGCCTGGACACCCACCCTGTCACCTGGACCCAAGCCCACCGCTGCCAGGTGAGCAGAGTGCCTGTAGCCCCTCCCTCATCCAGCAAGTGAGCAGGGGAGATGTACCAGGCGGGTCTTTACCGAACGATGGCCAGGGGTCCGCAGTGCTGGCAGGGGCTGCCGGCGCGCCCCAGGGGTTGGTCTGGCTGGCAGAGGTGGACGGGCCCCAGGGCTCCGCCTTCTGGGCAGCAGGGCCCGCAGTGGGCAGGGCATCCATCAGGTCCAACAGTGTAGTCTGCTGCGGGTGGGAGCTGTGCTGCTGCGACGAGCAGGGAAGGCGACAGGTGAGCTCTGCTGCCTGACGGCACATGTCCACCCATCGCCTGCACCTACCCAGGCTTCTCCCAGAGAGAAGGCCTTCAGGGGCCCAGAGGACCACAGGACTCCCACTGCCCCACATCACCACTTCCCGTGAAGACCCGGCTCCACCCTACGTGCAACGTGCCCTCTGTCGACCGGTCCTCAGGGTTTCCTGGGAAAACGCAGGTTTTGCCTCCTTCCAGGTGCTGTCCGCTGACGCACCTGGCCCCACAGTGGCCAGCATCACCCAAGGCCCTCTCTCCTGGGGGCTGGCTCACCCTTCCACTCTCATGGCCATCCTGGCTGCTGTCAGGGCCCGCAGCACTGTAACAGGGTGGGGGGCCCCAATGGAGCCCCTGGCCCTGGGCGGGGGGCGGGCGGGGCTCTGCCTTCCGATAGGAAGGTGAGGTTGTCGGGGGCAGAGCAGTCACCTTTAGGTCTCAGAGCACTTGATGTGCAGCTTACAAAGCAGTGGCTGGAGCCATATGCTTGGGGGGTGGGGGGACCAAGAAGGGGTCATGGGGGCCCACCACCCAGGCAGAAGTGTGCACTCCATCCTCTCCTCACTCCTGCTGTCACACCATGAGGGCAGGCTTGGGAGGGTCTCACACAGTGACCCCCCAGCCCCGTGAAGCACTCACCTCTTTCTTTTTTGGAACTTTAACCGTGTCTCGGCGGCTCTCCTCCAAGGCCATCTGCAGCCTGAGGTCATCGCCCCGCCTAAGGCGCTCTTCCTGTGGAGCACAATGAACCTCAAAGCTGGTGGTTATGGCCACATCGCCACCCAGCTAAGCCTTCCCGCCACAGCCGGAAACTAAAGCTGTATCGCCAGTCACTTCAGAGGAGGGTCTGAGGACAAGGTGGACAGGGAGTAGCTCCCGTCTCCTCTGTGTGCCTGGCGTCCCCACCCACCTGTGTGACTCCCACCTACTTCCAGTCCCACCAGGGAGCCCAGGGCACAGACACCACCAGAGAGAAAAGGAACACTTCTAAAATGCTTTTTCTCAAAGTGAAAATGACTTTAAAATTCTAATTTTGGAAGCAACATGTCTCTTCATAAAACACAAATAATCGGGAGGGGGGAAAAAAAACACAAACAATCCAGAAAGGAATTGGAAGAGGGACAGGTCACAGGCCGTTTCACCCTGACCCCCACTGTGCTTCCAGAAAACAAGTGTGTTCCTATTTTTGATTTCTAACAGAAATGGTCCACTGTATTTTATATTTATTCAAAGCACAGTCACCATATGTAAGACTGGGCAGCTTGAGCTTTTACAAATGGATAATATAATGATTAAATGTAAGTGAATACACTCACTGTGTCTTATTTACTCTAAGATGGGATGAGGAACCACACCGGATGGGCACGTCCATCCACCCCGTTTTCCCTGTGAGCTCTCTGTACCTCCCTTGGGCCGCCAGGGGTGGGGCAGGACCCAACGGGAGGTCATGTGGACCAAGGGGCCGCCCTGGGGGCTGTCCGCTACTGTGGACCTTACAGGATACTCCAGTCACGGGGGACTAGCCACACTGGGACTGGCAGCTGCCTCCATGTGACCCCCTGCCTGTCCCTCATGGCACTTCTAAGCGAGAGGGTGACACAGCCATGCCACACTGCTTCGCCCTTTTGAACCACAGGACAGCAAGCCGGGGCTGAAAGCGGCAGCAGAGGGCCAACCCCTCTGAAGGTCCTCTGGGCCGCTCCTTCCTCTCCTTCTCCATCTTCACATGACGCATGCTTGTAACATGCGTCCGTCTCTGGACGTTAGCGCTCTGCTCTCCTGGGCCCTCCCTCCAGCCTCTGTCTTATCCTTTTCCAGGTCCAGATGCTCTCCAGCCACCTTGTGGATCGTATTCCGCACACGGGGTGCAGAGGGAGCATCTTGTGAAGCACCTCTGACGGATGCGTCCCCAGGACCGCTGTCCTGAAAGCCTTTCCTCTGTGTGGCTATGCCCGGGCCCTCCCCGCTAGGGGCGTGTCCCTGCCAGCACCTACCTGCTCGGCCACCTCTCTGCTCATGGCCAGCGCCAGCTGCAGCTGCAGCTCCTCCTCCCCACTTGTCTGAGGCCTTGCCTGTTCCAGCTCCGAGGACACCCGTGGGGAGGTGGCTGTGGGGGAGGCAAAGTCACCATGAAGGACCCATGTTCCCCGGTCAGCCACCCACTCCCGCCTCACACCCACAGGTCCACCTGGGTGGGGAAAGGGGGTGTCTGTGACCATCCCAAGGTCACAGTTGAGGAACATCACAAGCACGCCAGCCACCCAGCACCCACCAAGAAAAATATCCTGGGGCACAGGCACGGCTAGCTCCGGCCTCTCAAGGATCAGACCTGCCTCCATGGCAGAGCTGCACAGCTTCAAGGAGGGAAGCTGAGTTTTTACAAGATTGAGGGCACAGTTCTGGAAAAGCTTGGTCATTATTCAAAGAAGCCCAAGGCCTCTGTGGACTCACGGGTCCTCTCAAGACCTCCTGACCCCAAACGCTGCTTCAGCCTAAATCTCCCACTTAAGCCTGCCTCTCAGGATCTGCTTCTTGGGAGAAATTAACTGGTGGGGAAGAGCTCGGATACTGACGTTTCTAGATAGCTGTGTTCTGGCTGCAGTGAGTAAGGTGGGAGAGGCAAGACTGAGCTGGGGTCCCTGAGCAGTCCAACGGGCAAGGCCGCCGACCAGTTTGGGGCAGCCTGTAAAGGGCGACGTCTTGTCCTACATTTAGGAAAGACATGTGACACAGCGAGGAGACTGCATCTGGAGCAACCAGGCCTGAAGCACAGTGTGTTCACTATGATTCACAGTCAACCAAGAGAAATGGTTAAAAAAAAAAAAAGGCCAACTGCCTCATGTGTACTCTTAAGCTAATAAAGAGGTCAAAGAGCAAAAAACGCTGCAGTTATGGAAAAAACACAAAGATGCTTTTCTAAATAAAATCAAGTCCAATCCAGTCCATCACCCCAATTTTCCAAAGCATTCCTTTAGAAGTAAAGCTGGATGGTAACCAAATGTCCTCAAATCTATCTTAACAATCCGATTTCTTAACAACATCCCCCAACAAAAGCATGTCTGGTCCCCAAAGTTCACTTCTGCCCATCACAGATGGCAGATTCTGGCGTCCTTGTGCTCTAGAAAGCAATGCCACCACCCAGACTGGCGAGAACAAGGGAAGCGGGACAGTTGGGAACAGTTGTGGGGGGCAGGAGGAGGCTCTCCCAATGACCAGAGTGCTGTCTCATCCAGGTCACAGCCCCATGGGCCGCCCGCTCCCCACCAACTCCTGATGAAAAGTCTCTGAGGCCGCCTCACAAAACTCTCAGTTTATAACAAACCCTTCATATCCACCATCCTCCACTTACTCCCAAAGGGGAAACCAGGCCCCCAGGCCCCACCCTATACCCCCAAAGGGCTCTGAACAGAGGGCCCCATCTTGGCAGGGAAAGCTGAACTTGGCCGTGCAGCCACAGAGCCTGACTTGCCTGGGACAGGATGAATGGGCCGGGGCTCTGCAGGGCCGGCTAGAGAAGTGAGGCGCCCTGTCCTCGGTGCCTCTCTGCACAGCTGCACGGCCGGCCCGGCTTCAAATGCAAATGTGCACGTTTGTGTCCCCCCAGCTGACGCTGCTGGAATAATGTGTGGCCGGAACACACGGAAATAGCTCACCACATCAATGTGGAAATCAGACAAAGGGTATTCCCCTAAATGCTGTGGTTTTTATAAGCGGATGCACGGCTCTCGGTCGCGCAGATGGCAGAATTTACAGCCACCAGCCCAGAGTGTCAGCTGAGCGCACACGGACCTCAGCTGTGAGGGCGGCGTCCGGTGGAGACGCTCCTGCCTTAGTGACAGCATCTCGGCCCCACAAAGGGCCTCTTGTGCCAGAGAACAGGACAGTGAGCACAGAGCCTGAAAGGGCCCTCCGGCCACCAGAGCCTGGCCTGGCCCCACTCTGAGGGTCCACCACTCATGGGGCAATAAGAGAAGCAAGTCCCCTTGGGTCTCTGCTGCTTTCTGCCCCAGCCATGCTCTCCAGGGAAGGCAGGCCCTGTGCACACAAGCTCATCGCCCTGGGAGCACGAGTCCCCACCCTTCCCCTGCGGTTGAGACTGACCCGTGGGGAGGAGCACAAAGCCGGCACCCCTATGGTGGGCTCCCATTTGTCCTGCCTGGTCCACCATCCTGGCTGCGGAAGCACAGGGGGAGGATGGACAGGGAGCCCACACAGGCCCCCACTGTCTCAAACTTCAGGCCAGGAGGAGAACCAAAAACCCACCCCCAACCTGGTACCTCCTGCAGGGCCACCCCCCTTCACCCTGCTCGCCTGCTCCAGGGGCTGGCTGACTGCACCGGGCCCCAAATGCCCCCTACAAGGCACTTCAGGTACGCAAGGTTGGGGAATTAAAGAGAGTAAAGCACTCAAGGTAACAGAAAAACAGGAAACTGCCTCTTCTCATTGGCAATGTTCTGCAATTTTCCTAGAGAGCTCTTCAGCGGCATCTGCAGTCACGGACGCTGGTTGAAGGGCACAGACTGCAGGCCCCCTCCCGAAGGCGGCTCTACATGGGGACTTCAAGGAAAGTGGGGCACACGGGCTGGAAAGAAGGCAAGGGCCTGGCCATGCAGCGCCAAAAAGACCCCACCTGGGTCTGAGCACTACCACCACCCCATGCCTGCCAGCTGACAGGGACACCAGACACCTGGCCTGTCCCCACCCCACTGCAGCAGGGAGCTGCACCCTGATGCCACCCCTCCAGGCCTCTGCTTCCAAGTCTGTGAGGTGAGCGATGGGAGGGATGGGAGGGACAGGAGGGCCTGAGACAAGCTGCTCCCACCCTGGGGGTTGGCCCTGCCCAGGTCACTGCTCTCCACTCCACCCACAGCCACAAGACATCCCGTCTCACAGGGCAGAAACCACAGATGGACACCGCGGTGGCTCAAGGCCTACGTGGGCTGAGGACTGTGGTTCTGGCAGCCGTGGCCTCCCCGTCCCTTTTCTGTCGGCCAGCAAGGGAGGGGCTGCGGAGCCGGCGCTGAGCCCAGGGCCACTTTCTGCCCCCGGTGACCAGGTCCCTGTTCAGCTAAGTTCCTTCCTCATCACTGAACTGCAATGAAGTGCTTACTGGGCCTTCCTCAGCATGGCGACATCTTCCTGTGCTCCACAGGCTGTTTCCTGAGTCAGCGATGACCTCAGCCACCGAGGACACTCCCACACGGAGCAGAGGCTTCTGACCCTGTCCCCTGGGAGACCCACCAGGCCCACCCGCTCCCAGCTCACAGGCGACAGCAGGAAAGACCGTTGTTAGTCAAGTGAGATGAATTATGAGAAAATAAGCTCAGATAACCCCAGGTAACGTTGAAAGAGAGAAATTACATAAATATGTTGTGGAAATAACATGTCCACTGACTCAATGGACATGAGTTTGAGCAAACTCTGTGAAATGGTGGAGGACAAGAAGACTGCTGTGCTGCAGTCCATGGGGTCGCGGAGTCAGACATGACAGAGCAACTGAACAACAATGTTGTGGAAGAGCCAAAAAGGTGCAAGATGTGAAGAGACTGAAGTACCACCACTGGGTGATGTTCAGGACAAGAGGGGCTGGACCATGAACATGCTCTGCCCTTTGCCCACCACTCGACAGTCCTGGCAAAACCCTGTCTGGATCCCAATGCAGACTCTACATCTGATTCCAGTTCACAGAAGCACAGGAAAAGGACTGCGACAGACAAACCCAGACCAAGGGCCACTTTGCAGGACGGCCGGCCCAGCATCCCAGCACATGAGGGTCGTGAGCACTGTTATACTGAAGGGACAGGACCCCGGGTGGTCTCAGTACAGACAGCTGGCTGTACGTCACAGAACAGTGGGCAGATGGGCACGCGGGCAGGGACGAGATGGCCCAACGGCTGCTGTCCACTCCATCCACTGTCGGGCTATGGGGGAGGGGAGATGCCAGAGCTTGTGTTAAATACTTCAGCGTAAGAGGAAGTGAGGGCCGCCCCTCTCTTCCTGCCTCTACTCCTCTTCCCAGAGGAAACAGCTGTTGACATTTTCTCATGATTCCACTCAGAAGACATACACGCACGCCCTGCACATCGGCGTGCTTTCCTGACTCTCGCCCACAGGCCCCCTCAATTCCTGCCATGTGTGAGCTCCACCTCACCGCATCCCCACCCTGGCTGATGGTCTCAGCCTCAGAGATGCAGCCCTGGTGGAGGGTGCGCCTGGAAGTCTGGGCCCAGACCCAGGCTTGCCGCTGCTCAACCCCCCGCTGTGGCCTCCTCACCCACAGGATGGGAGACAGGGTCCCTGCGGCTTGGGCTGTTGTGAGGACCAGATGAGTTCCTACGGGGGGCACCTGGCTCAGCGCCTGGTGTGTGACAGTGGTACCACACCTGGCATCTTGCCCAACCCTCAGCCCAGGTGGGGTCCTGCCTCCCAATCCACCCCAAAACCGGGGTTGAGGCCCAGAGATGAGGGGGCTCACCAGGGTCCCACAGCCACAAGGGACAAAGGCCAACCTAAGGCCTTGCTCTTCATCATCACTGCTTCCCACAGAGGAGGGAATCGGGGCCCAGGAAGGTTCCAAGGCCACTCAGAGCCAGCAGGAGAACTCAAAAGCCAATGCCATGCTGTCCCCATGCCCGGCCTGGGGGCAGGCAGCAAGGCTGCCAGGCAGAGAGCAGGTGGGGCTTCACCGGGTTTGACAGCCTTGCCCTGCCCAGGGGCCAAGGCAGAGCGGGCCCAAAGGTGTGAGGTCCTGACCCCCAGCGCCTCAGAACACGGCGGATTTGGAAACGGCTATGGCAGAGTCCTTAGTGAATGGTTAAGCTGAGGTCACACTGGAGCAGGTGGGCCCCACATCCAACGTGACCTGTGTCCTTACAGGCAGGGAAGAGATGGGGGCGAAGACATTGAGCGAAGGGCGGCAGCTGTGGCCCGGGGACACCGAGGAGGCCTCCAGCAGCAGAAGCAGGGACAGCGCAAGGCCGGACGCTCCCTGCGTGTGTGGGTCTCAGAGGCGCAGGCCTGTGCAAACCCTGATCCAGGGCTTCCAGCCTCCAAAGGTGAAAAGACCCGTGTCAGTGCTGCTGCAGCCCCAGGTCCCGGGCTCTCCCA